AAAAAAAAAAAAAAAGACACTGTGCATCCAGATTTTTGTATGAAACCTGCAGATTTTAGAACCTCATGCTGGCCACTCAGAAAATGCCTGTGGGTTGACTATGGCTAGTGTGCCACCAGTTAGAGGCTTTTAAAGGCAAGACTGAACTCCCCTGCCTAGGGTTGGGGGAACAGGGGACAGAGGGTCCAGCTTGCCTAGAGTGACTTTGGACCKCTCTCCACCCTAGCCTTCACCTTCTTCGATCCCAATGACCCTGCATGCCAGGAGATTCTGTTTGACCCTCAGACCACCATTCCAGAGTTGTTCGCCATCGTGCGTCAGTGGGTGCCCCAAGTCCAGCACAAGATAGATGTCATCGGCAATGAGGTAGGAACAGAGGGGAAGTTAGGGGGGAGGGGATGTGCCCCTCACATGTTTGGGTAACCCTCCCGTTCCCTGGTACTCCCAGATTCTGCGTCGAGGCTGCCACGTGAATGATCGTGATGGGCTGACTGACATGACGCTGCTCCATTATGCATGCAAGGCTGGGGCTCATGGAGTCGGTGAGGGCCCAAACCCCCAAGCCCTGAGCCCCAAAGCCTAAGCCTCTAGCCCTGATACCCKCAAAACCTCCCAGAATTCAGGCCCTAATAACACGAAGTGTAGACCATGAGGCCCCAGGCTCTCCGCACGCGCTAGGTGTATGCTCTACTGGAAGACTTCCAAGCTGRCCCTTGTTGTCGTGCAGGGGACCCTGCGGCGGCCGTGCGTCTCTCCCAGCAGCTGCTGGCGCTGGGCGCCGATGTTACCCTGCGCAGTCGCTGGACCAATATGAACGCTCTTCACTACGCTGCCTATTTTGACGTGCCCGACCTGGTACGGGTGCTGCTGAAGGGCGCACGGCCACGCGGTAAGGAGGAGGGGCCTGGCTGAGAGGAGAAGGGGGAGGGCGCCTCGAGGACCTGGTTTAGAGAGGTAGAGACCTGGGGTGAGAGGGACCTGGAGTGACGGGGCAGAACTGAGGCCTGGCTGGGAAGGGGAGAGGACTAGGATGCAGGAGGTAGCCCGAAGCAGGAGGTGGAAGCCGGAGGTGGAAGCCGGCAGGGCGCTGTCAGTGGGCCCCACCCTCAGGGGTAGGAGGGGCGGGGCATAGAAGAGAGGGGCGGGGCTCTCGCAGAGGCAGAGACTGGGAGGCCTGGGGAGGGATAAGAGAGGAACCCAGAGGTAAGAGGAGGGCTGGGTTCCCACCACGTTCACCCAGAACCCTCCTCTCGCCCACTTCCCAGTAGTGAACTCCACGTGCAGTGACTTCAACCACGGCTCAGCCCTGCACATCGCTGCCTCCAACCTGTGCCTGGGCGCGGCCAAATGTTTGCTGGAGCATGGCGCCAACCCAGCGCTGAGGGTACTGCCACTCTGGCCCAGCCTGCTATCCTCTTCCCTGCTCCCTCCATCCACTGCCCTCCAACAGGCCACTGTAGAGGACGAGGACCACTTGTATTTCTCCTAAAATGTTATAAAAACGATCTGCACATTCAACAAATGAAATGATAGCTGATATTAGAGTTCATTATTCATCAGGTGAAGCGTCACAAGCCCTGTTTTACAACCAAGAGACTGAGGCAGAGAGATTCAAGGATTTTCCCAGGGGCACTCAGCAAGGATATCTTTTCTTTCAATCCTGGCTGACCCTGTGGCTTTGTACAGACAGCAGTTGAAATCATGAGGAAAGTGGAGTTAGGCCTTCAGTGAATGAGAGGCTTGGGCCCCTTATAAGCCCTCAATATGATCTTTGATCCCTTTCTGTTATCAGGTCCCAATATCCCTGGCATCCTGGGGGTTCATCACAGGGCCTGTGCCCCTGTTCTCTCCTCATTCCCTATTGGCTCAGTTTGATATCTGAGCCTATAGCATAGGAGCCTGTTCTCAGTATTCATGCCCACCCACCTCCCAAGGCCCCATTACAGGCTTAAGGTCCCCAAAGCATAAGCTCCCCAAGGGCATGACCTGCAGTACCATCCTCATTCCCTGTAGGCTCCATCCCCAATGCTACATTGCATTACTTGACACATCCCCAGCTCAGGACCACAGGGGTGGACTCACTGGGGGTCTGCATCCAAATGCCCCACCCCTTCTTATTCCCATGCTGGCYCAGGGCATGATGTAGTCCTGTCCCAGCTTCACTCAGGCTGGTAGCCCTCATGGGAGTGTAGCCTGTACCCCTGAGCTCCTGTCTCCTCTCTTCCTATTGGCCCACAGAATCGGAAGGGGCAGGTGCCAGCTGAGGTGGTCCCAGACCCTATGGACATGTCCCTGGACAAGGCAGAGGCTGCGCTGGTGGCCAAAGAGCTGCGAACGCTGCTGGAAGAGGCTGTACCACTATCGTGTGCCCTCCCCAAGGTGACACTACCCAACTATGACAACGTCCCAGGCAATCTCATGCTCAGCGCATTGGGCCTGCGTCTAGGAGACCGTGTTCTGCTGGATGGTCAGAAGGTCAGAGATCAGTATTGGAGGGGGCGGTTCCCTCATCCCTCAGAGCTGGGTGTTTGGTTGCAAACAGACTGTCCTCTTTGTCTGCCCGCCTTTCAGTCATTCACACAGTTCTTTATTCTGTCTAACAATTGTTCTGTCAATGCTTCCTCTGTGYCTCACTCTGTGCTGAACTGTTGGCTTAGAGGGAGAAATAGACCCATTCCCCAAACGAGGACAGCACAGAGCAGTCATGGTTGAAATGAGCAGAGCGATCAGCATAGCTCTGTGTATCTGTGGCTCCTAGAGTTTTAAGGTCCCTTCTCAGCTCCCATCTCCATTCTTAGAGTGGACAGGACTTTGACTAGGACAGTATAAAGCCAGAGTGCTCAGGGAAGTGTTGGGGTATGCACCCAACTTGAAGATGAAGAGAAGGGGAGGAGAAAGGGTTTCAGTTAGAGGGAGTCGAGAATCTTGACTCATCTGGGCATTCCAACTTTCATTTTTTTTTTTACTATTTATTTTTTAGTTTTAGGTGGACACAACATCTTTATTTTACATTTATGTGGTGCTGAGGATCAAACCCAGTGCCTTGTGCATGCTAGGCGAGCACTGTACCACTGAACCACAACACCAGCCCCCCAATTTTCATTCTTTTGGCTAGTGTCCTTCAGGCTCTGTGCTGAGCCCAGTGTGTCCTTAARGATAGAGGGCTGCATTTGCTCCAGCTCTGCTCTCATGAAGTGCCACTGCTAGTGAAGAAAAAAGTCAGCCAGTCAGTAAAGTACACTATGTTTAAAAATTATTTTTGGAAGCAGAAAGTATTGTGAAAACCATTAGATGGATGGATTTAAATTGTCTGGCTTGAAGCAGGAGCTATTTTAACTGGGTGGTCTCAGAAGGCTTCTTTGAGTGGGTAATGTCCAAGCAGAGATGGGAAAAAGTTCACCTCACAAAGAAGTTCATATCACAAAGATATGGAAACAGCAAGTATGAAGACCCATGGTGAAGAGAGGCATAGGAYTGGAGAGAAGTTGGGGGGATGGAGGGGTCAGAAACACTGCATCACAGGCCATTGATCCCTCTTTGTATGAAGGTTAAATGAATTAAAACCTGGTATACACTAATTGTTCTTTTTTTTTATTGGTTGTTCACAACATTACAAAGCTCTTGACATATCATATTTCATACATTAGATTGAAGTGGGTTATGAACTCCCAATTTTACCCCAAATGCAGATTGCAGAATCACGTCGGTTACACATCCACAATTTTACATAATGCCCAATTAGTAATTGTTGTATTCTGCTTCCTTTCCTATCCCCTACTATCCCCCCTACACTAATTGTTCTTTGTGTGCCTGTTCTAGTCTCTATGTCAACCCTCCAAAATCAACACTATTAGCCTATTTTGTAATTAATTAATTAATGGCACTAGGGATTGAACCTAGGGCTTCACACATTCTAGGCAAGTACCCAACCACTGAGCTACACCCCAGTGGCAGTACTGGGGGTGTCAGGTACTTCATCTGCCCAAGTTAGTTCATTTTATGAACTAAGGGCTGGGTTCTATCCCCAGTACCATTAGAAAAAAAAGAAAACTGAGGTATGGAGGTGAGAGGGACTCACACAATCCTAGTAACCACACTCATGGAGGACTGTCTGCAGCTAAGCATCTTTACTTGTATTAAAAATGTATCCATCAGAACCAGGCAGGTGGTGCACACGTGTAATTCCAGACAGTAGGAAGGCAGGAGGATCATGAGTTCCTGACTAGGCTCAGCAACTTTGCAAGACCATGTCTCAAAATTTTAAATATAAACTTTTTACTTGAGATGTAGCTCAGTGGTAAAGTGCCCTGGGTTCAATCCCCTCTATATCTATATCTATATTTATTATCTCTCTCTCTCTCTCTCTCTCTCTCTCTATATATATATATATATATATATATATATATAAATATATAAATTTGGCTAATGTGACTGGGGAAATTAATTTTTAACTTAATTTAAAATAAAAATTTTGGTGCTGGCGATATGGCTCAAGTGGTAGTGTGCTCGCCTGGCATGTGTGGGGCACTGGGTTCAATTCTCAGCACCACATAAAAATGAAATAAAGATGTTGTGTCCACCTAAAACTAAAAAATAAATATTAAGGGCTGGGGTTGTGGCTCAGCGGTAGAGCATTTGCCTAGCACGTGTGAGGCCCTGGGTTTGATCCTCAGCACCATATAAAAATAAATAAAATAAAGATATTGTGTCCAACCACAATTAAAAAGTAAATAATATTTAAAAATAAATAAATATTTAAAAAATAAATTTTCATACTTGGTTAGTGGTTATTTACTGTATTTGACAGGATGTTACAAGTAGGTAAGAGTGGTATTCCCATTTTGCAGATAGGGAGGTTGAGGTACAGAGAAGTTAAGTCAGATAGCCAGTAAATGATGATGTTGAAGCGGAGATTTGAGCCCAGTATTCCTGCGTACACTCACCCCACCACCATGCTTCCTGTGTGCCAGTGGTCCTCCCTAGGGTCCCTTCCCAAGTCATACCTCCCTTGTCTCCTCAGACCGGCACACTGCGGTTCTGCGGGACCACGGAGTTTGCCAGCGGCCAGTGGGTGGGCGTGGAGCTGGATGAACCCGAGGGCAAGAATGATGGCAGTGTTGGGGGTGTCCGGTACTTCATCTGCCCTCCCAAGCAAGGTCAGTCTCACCTGGTGTCCGGGAGGGTGGGGATGGGGGTCCTTTTAGTAGTTCTGAGTCTAGGTAATGGTGTGGAAGTTGAGGGCATGGCCAGGGGCAGAGGTTTGAACAACACCAAGCCTAGTCTCTGTCCCCGCAGGTCTTTTTGCCTCTGTGTCCAAGATCTCCAAAGCAGTGGATGCACCCCCCTCGTCTGTCACCTCCACGCCCCGGACTCCCCGGATGGACTTCTCCCGTGTTACTGGCAAAGGCCGAAGGGAACACAAAGGTCAGAGGGGGAACATTAGGGGTAGGAAGAGCCAGTCATGGGGACATTCTGTGGATAGCTCAGTTTGTGTGACTCAGTTTCTCCTCTGGCCCAAACTCTAGTTTTAGAGGATAGGCTCTGAATTCCTGGCTTTTCTAACTCAGTTTTCCCTTTGGCTCAGGAGTAGCCATATCCAGTTCTTTTGTTGTTGTTGTTGTTTATTTTATTATTTATATGCAGTGCTGAGAATCAAACCCAGTGCCTCACACATGCTAAGCAAGTACTCTACTACTGAGCCACAACCCCAGCCCCCACCCAGTTCTTGAAAGGACTTATAGGTTCACTACCTTCTACTTAGTTTCCCCTCAAGCCCAAAGTCTTCCCCAAATTGGGGAAGACTCTTTCTGGGAGTTCTCATTCCAGGGGTTTATGGCTTTTATGACTTGATTTACTTATTCTCAGACCCAAATCCCCCTTCATTTTATTTCACTATTGATTGATTGATTGATTTTTGAGACAGGGGTCTTGCTACATTGCTCAGGTTGGTTTTGAATTTCTGTCTCAGCCTCTTGAATGCTGGGGTCTTGACATGGGGATCCCAAAACTGGCATCTGAGGCCCCATCTTCCCCTTACCATCTCYTCACAGGCAAGAAGAAGAACTACATGTAGACACTATTGTGTCCAGACTTCGTTTTATTATTTATTTAAATACTTAGTGGCACTGGGGATCAATCCTAGGGCCTCACATAAGCTACACAAGTACTCTACCACTGAGCTGCATTCCCAGCCTTTTTAAAATTTTGAGACAGGTTCTCAGTAAATTGCCCAGRCTGGCCTTGAACTTGGGAGCCTCCTTTCTGAGTAACTTAAGATTACAGGCACGTGCTACCATACCTGGCTAATTTTTTATTTCTTGTGGTCCTGGGGATCTTACCCAGGGCATTCTACCAGTGAGCCACAACCTAGCATTGTAAAAAGGACAGTTTCTAAGCTCACGACTTCTGCCTCAGTTTTTCCTTTGGCCTTTATATCTTCAGTTCTAAGATTTTTGGATTCTCTAGSTTCTGTGGCTCAGTTTCCACTCAAGTCTAAAGGCCCCCTCTCTCCTAGTTCTCTGGCATCTGAGATTCAGTTTCCCTTCAAACCCAATACCATCCCCTACCCTAATCCTGTGGAAGGCACTAAAGTTCCTGTGATTGGAGCCAGGACAGAATTTTTATCTTGAGACTTTCCAGGTGGCTTGGGGGYCCCCMAAACTGGCATCTGAGRCCCCATCTTCCCCTTACCATCTCCTCACAGGCAAGAAGAAGTCCCCATCGTCCCCATCTCTGGGCAGCCTGCAGCAGCGTGAGGGGGCCAAGGCTGAAGTTGGAGACCAAGTCCTTGTGGCAGGCCAGAAGCAGGGGATTGTRCGCTTTTATGGAAAGACAGACTTTGCTCCAGGTGAGGACAGGGATTTGTGGCTGGGGGACAGGCAAGGCTCTGGGGCATCCTGACACCTTCCTGCTACAGGTTACTGGTATGGCATTGAGCTGGACCAGCCCACAGGCAAGCACGATGGCTCTGTCTTTGGTGTCCGGTACTTCACCTGCCCCCCAAGGCATGGAGTCTTTGCACCAGCATCCCGCATTCAGAGGTGAGCCCAAATTCTGACCCCTGACCCAGGGGGCCACCCACAGCCCTAATCCACCCTTGGTTGGTTTCTTCCTCTTGGACTAGCAGGACATTGTAGTTACCACCCAMACCCTAGCCCTTTCCTCTGGGCTCACCTTCCAGAGAGACCCTGAATTCTTGTGGCTCTGATTTCTTCCATTCCTTGTGTCTCCCCAGGATTGGTGGGTCTACGGATCCCCCTGGGGACAGTGTTGGAGCCAAAAAAGTACATCAAGTGACAAGTGAGTTGGGGGCTGAACATGGGGAGGCATGTGGGTCTGGGAATGGTAGAAGGGTCATGGGTTTTCAGGTGTACGCTTATGACAAGAGTCAGCCCAGGAAAATGTTGAGATGAGGTSCTATAGGGTATGAGGAAGTTAACAACAAGGCTTGGAGGGCTAGGGTTATAACCCAGATGTAAAGCACTTGCTTAGCATGTGCAAGGCCCTGGTTCAATCCTGAGCACCCAAAACAACAACAACAACAACAACTAAAACCCTACAAAATCAAAAAAACAAGGCTATAGCAGGCATCAGGGATATAGGTTGAGTGGATTTTGGGAACATGGGTAGGTATAGGGGGACTTGGAAGGTATTATCGACAAGAGGTTCAGATGGGGATTGGGAACATAGAATCCAGGTAGGTCCTGGGGACATGGATAGATATTAATGACAAGGATTCTAGGTGAGTATTGAGGACACAAGTGAGTTTATCATCCTCTCACCCTGCTCTCCTCTCCAGTGACACAGCCCAAACGCACCTTCACGACAGTCCGGACTCCAAAGGACATTGCGTCAGAGAACTCTATCTCCAGGTGTGTGGCCAAGACTGTCCCCTTTCCTGTGGGCTGTTAGGGAGAGGCATTCACAAGACTGTTGGATACTAGGGCTGGGGCTCTAGTTGKGGATTGAAATAGAAGCTAGAAGTTGTGACTAGTAAGCACACCTAGAAACAGTCTTTAGGGTGTAGGGCCCAATACTGACTTTTGCTGACACCTCTTAGGGGGCAGGTTAAGGAAGCAGAACACCCTCCACTGCACATAGCCTAAGAATGCAAAGCCAGAAACAGAATCCCAAAGACTAGRGGGTGATGGAACCAGATGACCCTGCATCCTGAATCATGGTTGACCAGGTTCTTCTCCTTTTAGGTTGCTCTTCTGCTGCTGGTTTCCATGGATGCTGAGGGCAGAGATGCAGTCTTAGAGGCCCTGGATACCTGACAGAGACAAAGAAGTACCTTCTAGCATCTCCYGACACAAGGAGCCCCCAGTCACCCTGAGATAGAGATTCCCAGTAACACATCCAGAATAGAGACCCCCCATTAGCCAGCCCTCAATCACTGAGGTCCCATTATTAACAGATCCCCATGATAACCTGCCCCCYAAATACAGACCCCATATCACCCAGAAAAAGATTCCCTAAGTAGCACCTTCAGGCTAGTCCCTATCCCAGCCCCTCAGAGCAGAACCCTAATTAACAGATTTCTGCATCACCCCAAATTATGGTTGATCCTTTCCATATAATGTTCCATAACAGGACATTCTGAGTCACTCATCAGTGGATCAGAAACTCCCCCATTAACAAAGACTCTCCCTGATTCTCCTTGTAATAAACATAGGTCACAACTCCAGAGTAATAGACCATGTCACTATCCCCATTTAACATCATTGCCCTCAAGATTCCGTGATCCCATGGTCACCCCGAAGCCCTTCCATTCCATTCCCCCTTTCAAAGACTCTCCATGAACAAAGACCCTTGTTCTTACCCCTCAAGAAAAGACCCACTTTAACTAGCCCACTGTCACCCCCCCAATTTATAGACACCAAAACAGTCCTGGAAGTGCTAATTACAGGACCCCCAAGTCTTCCTACCCTCTGCACCCTCAAGAAACCCCCAGTGCCTTGTATGAAGCCCACCCCACATGGCCTCCAGCCTCTGTGCTGGCCAGGCTCCCAGAAAATTCTCTATTTTTGAAGTAATGACTTCCCCCTTTGGGGGACCCCAAAATTTGGAGACCCCATTCTGAGACTCTGGGGATCCCACACCCCAGAGTATACATGTCCCAAGAACCCCTGTGCCCCCAAGTCCTATAACCCCTAGAAGATCCCAAATTTCTAACTCCCAGGACCCCCAAATCATGGAATCCCCAAATCCCAAGGGAATCCCAAATTTAAAAGTCCAATGGTAAACCCCCAGGAAAACCCAATTATGAGGTCCTTGTACCTGGGATGGAGGAGACTGCAATCGGGAAATGTATTCCAGGCTCTCAGGGTATTTCAAGCCCTGTCCATAGGCACCAGGAGACCCCCAAACAGGAATTCCCATCCTGGAAACTGCAGGATTTCAATGCCCTGAGTTCAAGGATCTCAAGAAACCCAAATTCAAGAGCCCCAGCCCTAAGGGACCCCCAAATCCTAAAGCCTCCGTCTATARTACGTGGAGGGCCCCGAGGCCCTGAAGCAATCCCAAGTCTTGGAGCCCCCATTTCAATCTATCTTCTGGTCRCAGGTCCAAGACACCAAATCTGATTTACTGGCCCCAAAGGACCTCAAAGCACTTGGGCCAGGCCAACAGCCTAAGGGAGAACCTGAAGGCCCCACGGGTCCAGGGCAGACCTGGGGCCCTGACCACCAAGGACAGCTCACGACTGCCCCTTCTCACTGCATGTCCCCAAACTCAGCATGACCCCTGTCCTCTTCAATAAAGACGTTTCTACGGCCTCTGTGTGTCAGGTCATTGTTTGTGGGTTACGGCCTCCGTACACTTGCTAGGGGAGTGAGGGAGAAGGCGGCTTCCCTTCAATCTCGCCTCCCCGCGGCCTGATTGTAGGATGGCCTAGTCTGCAAAAAGTCCACCCAACAAGCCCTTATCTCCTTCCCGGTCACTACAGCGGGTTCTCCCATCTGGGCCCACGCTGCAGGGCGGACACTTTCGGTTTTGGAATCCTGATTGGCCGGTGTCAGACGAAGACCGGTCTCCTGTGGCTCCCCGAAGGCTCAGAGGCCCGGAGGYGCGGCCTATCCCTGAGCGAGGGTGAGGGGGCGGGAGAATACCAAGCGAGAGCGCCAATTGGTTGGAAGGCGGACCCTTTAGGCTTCTGAGAGTTCCCATTGGTCTGAGGTATTTTGCTTCCGCAACGTGGGGCGGAAGTAGCTGGGGGGAGGAGGGTCTTGATTCTGAAAATTGGAGGGGACGCGAGTGGACGGTCAGTGTTGGGGGCTGGGGGCAGAGATGGGGGGCCCAGGGGGTCCGAGAGTGGGGGTCTGGGGGAGTTCATACTGGGGAGTCCTTTAAAGAGTCGGGGACAAGGGTTCAGGGAGGGAAGAAGGTTTGAGAGGAGTCAGACTTAGGTCCTAGGGAGCCGCAGTGAACGGGCGCTTTGAAAGAAAAATCTGAGGGGCTCCAGAGTGGAAGGGGTTTGAGGAGGCTTAGATTTGTGTCCCAAGGACACTCAGAATGGGGGCTCCGAAAGGGCTGAGGTCGAAGAAGCGTCCCCCGCCTCAGAGAGCCGTCATTCATCGTTGCAGGTCTGAAGTGGGGTCTCAAATTAAGGTATTTAAAGAGGCTCTGGGGTGCAAATGCGGTAGGGGGACTCTACCTTTGGAGAAAGGTTCCCTGTGTGGGGTCAGAGAATGCTCTCTGCGAGAGACTGGAGAGGGCATATGTGTAGTTTGATGGGTCCTCAGAATTTTGGAAGAGTGTGCTGGGTGCTGGGCAAGGAGCCTAGGGGATCACTGTGTGGCATTTGAGATGTCGGGGACTCGGTTTTTAGAGACAGTGAGTTTCACAGGAGGATGAAAATGGGCCTGGATGGTGATGGGGCAGAAGGCTGAATCACAGACTGAGGATAGGAGGCTTAGTAACTGAAGCTTGTCCTCAACTCCCCACAGGACTGGGTGCAAGGAGTTGGTGTCGATGGAGGAGCAGGACGTCAGGGTTCCAGCTCTGGAACCATTCAGGGTGGAACAGGTTGTCAGGACTGGGGATACAGAGGGTAAAGGTGGGGCTAGAAAGTGGGAGGTGGGGTGGGATGGACAGGCTGACTCCTGGGTCCCTGGGTTGGGAGTCCCCCCTCCTTCCAAATTTGTTTTTACCCTCAAGAGTCCAGTCCCACTCCCAACCCCAACTCCTAATGGGCATGAGTCCCTCAACTTCAGACCCTGGCCTGTCTGAGGACATCCTTAGCTTCCCTCCAGAGAGGGAGGTTACTCAGTGATGGTAGGGCCCTTTGTGGGTTAGAGGGCCACATCTTCAGGGGAATCTTTCCATTGTAGGCACCACCTGTAATCTACTATGTACCTGACTTCATCTCCAAGGAAGAGGAAGAGTATTTGCTTCGACAGGTGACCCCTAATGTCCTTGTAAAACCACCCCCACCACCGTCTTCCCGTATTCCTCTCCAACCCTCAGCTTTGGTATGAGAGCCCCCAAGGCTGCAGTGAAAACCCTGGCAGAAAGGAGACCTTCCCCTACCCTCCCTGGGCTTCTCTTGGGAATTGTTAGAGCTGTTAGAGTTGTTTTGTTTTTTCCTAGGAGGCTTAGGGGCAACCAAACTAATGGTTAGGAAGGAGCTAGTTATTATGAAGCTCAGACACCCTGTACCGAGATAGTCCTGTCCAGCCTCCAAAATGAGAATTTTATTGAGATCACATCCCTTGTGTAGAAATAGCCTATGCAACTTCAGAGTCTCAGGAACATGGAAGTTATGATATTCCCTATGTTGAGATAGTCCAGTCCTGCAATCTTAAAGGAGGTTATAAACATAGAAGAATTTAGTGTTCAAATTTCTATGCTAAGATAATCCAGGAATCAGGATGTAACAGAGTAAGTTCTGCCTTGTGCCAAGGTAGCTCAGCATAGTCTCAAACGCTAGGAACAAGGTTACCAAGTATACACCACCTGTGCTGAGATGGCCCAGTTCATATTCTATTCTTCAGGTTTGGGAAAAGAAGAATTTCCAGAACCTAGAGTTCCCACACTGGGATAGCCCTTATTAGCCAGAGTCTTCAGAGCACCAATCTTCCCAGTGTTATGATAGCCCTCTTGAGCTTGAGTCCCAGGAACAAGTTCACCACAGAACATAAACCCTTGTGCTGAAATAGCCCAAAAGTTTTTGGTTCTTGGGATTGAAAACTTGACATATTTTCAAATCCTTGTACTGAAGCTCAGGTTAGCTTCATAACCATACCAACAATAAGATTATCAACTAGAGTATAGATTTCTCTGACTGAGATAGCCCATTCTAGACCCTGGGGATCTTGGCAATGGAGAATTTTCAAAGTACTTTCCCTGCTGTACTAAGGACTAAGCCCAGCACACTCCCTCTCCCATGCAATAGGAACAAAGGTGCTCCAGAACCCAGAGTATCCCCAGATAGCCAGGAAGAGACTAGGCCAACCTCAGCGTTCTTACTAGACTCAAACTATGATTGTGCAGCCTTGGTTTCTTTCCTTAATTCTGGTGGACACAGATGGACTTTGGGACCAAAGGCCTGCCCTGACAAGAAGGCAAACAACAAAATCCTGGGAACTTACTACTCCAGAGAAAAATTCCACAGCCACTAAAATGACCCATTTCCACCCCAGGAAAGGGCCACTATGTTGAACTGGGTGAGAGACTTACAGAGGGGTGACTCCAAAAACAGGAGTGACCTTTCCCCACCTCCTAGGTTTTCAATGCCCCAAAGCCAAAGTGGACCCAGCTTTCTGGGAGGAAGCTACAGAACTGGGGTAAGTTTCCCCAGCTAGGGATGTAGGTGATTCTGGGATGTGGGGTGGGCAGAGGGTTTAGGTCCAGTAGTCTCAAGATAAGGGGAGCCTTGAGGGCTCAAGGGGTTCTAAGGGCCAGAAGGATTCTGAGGGGGTCAGTGGAGATCCTGAGGGCTTAGGGGCTTCTTGGTGACTTGGCAGTAACTCATGGGGTTTGGGGAACCAGAAAAGTCAGAAAATCTCTGAAGGGCCAGTGGTCTTCAGGGGTCCCTCAGGGGGCACCAAGTACCAGGATCCTTGGTTTGGTGCCCTCAGGACCCCATTGCACTCCCCAGGTGGGCTCCCCCATCCTAAGGGGATGGTCCCTGAGCGACTGCCCCCGTGGCTCCAGCGCTACGTGGATAAAGTGTCTGATCTCAGCCTTTTTGGGGGTCTCCCTGCTAACCATGTCCTCGTGAACCAGTATCTGCCTGGGGAGGGCATCATGGTAACCACATACCCTCACCCCAGCCCCCACAGTAGTAACCACCTCACCCCAGATCTCTGAGCCATCATAGGGTAGGGCATCATGCTCACCCCCCTCACATCATGGAGCAGCCGCATACCCAACCTGGCATTCGCGTATCCATCCCAGCTCGGGAGTGCCCCTTTGACCCAGAGGGTGGGAGGGATGGACTTCTGCCCTGCCCAGCCCTGGTGCCCACTCCTCAGCCCCACGAGGATGGACCACTCTACTACCCGACCGTCAGCACCATCAGCCTGGGCTCCCACACCATGCTGGATTTCTATGAACCTCGGCAGCCGGAGGATGATGACCCTATAGAACAGGTGGGTCTGCAACGCTGCCCCAAGCACTGGGAGTGCCCAGACATCCCACCTCCTCCAGGCTGACCCAATCCCATTTGCCCCAGGCTATTCTTGACATCTTCTAGACACTTTGACCTGTTCTTTCATGTGTTATACTCACTTCCTCCCAGACACCCAACCCATCTGTTTGCTGGGTGCTCTGACTGCCATAACACAGACACCCAGTGCCTTTACTGCTGAGTAGATGCCCTGACACTCCACGGTCCCCTGACCCCATACACTTAGTGGCCCAACAGACCTGGGCTCACCTGTGGCCCACGTATGGCCCCCCAGTACTCAATAGACATTCTTCTTCTTTTTTTTTCTTTTTTTTTTTTTTTTTTGTGGTGCTGGGGATTGAACCCAGGACCTTGCAAGGCAAGCACTCTGCCAACTGAGCCCCTCGAGAGACATTCTTGATATCCTCAGATACCCTAGTGTCATTCACTCATGGGTGTCCCAACATCTTCCCACTTGCCCTCTCGTCCCACCATTTGAGCACTACAACACTGATATCCTGCTACTCCAGAAATGTGATTTGCAGTGCAGATGTGCCCAGGTTCTCCTGATCCCATGTCACATGGGTCTGCTCAGAGACCCCCACAGAAACCCTGACAGCACCCTCTCTGACCTCTTTCACTGAGGGATATTCTTGACATCCCAGTGTTCACAGAGACTCCTGGACACACCCTAGCCCTTTGCTCCTTGGGGTTTCCCCGTTAGCCTTTCATGCTCCTGAATATTCTGACCTGCCTCCTAATGTCAGTGTCCTCCAACATCCTGATKTCCTCAGATATTTCAGCCTCTTTACATTGCCCACCCCTGGTCCTTGCCTCAACATGCCCTCYCAGCCCAGCTCTGCCCTAGTGTCCTGGGGCCTTCTGATCTCAAGCTCAGCCCCAGCCCCTTGGAGATTCCAGCTGCAACTCCCACAGTCAGCTGACCATTTGAGGTGCCCATCTGCAGCCTACTTCCTGTCAGGGATCTGGTGGGACTGCTGACTCCTAGTCCTTTCCCTTCCCATCAGCTGTAACTGTGGAGCCCACAGATTTTCACCAAAGACTCCATTCCTAGGAGCACTCTTACTCTTCAGCTTTTGCCCCTGGGTACTCACCCTTGTCCCCTGACCCCTGAAACCTGACTGCCCATACCTGACCTCTGATTAGCCTCTAACTACCAACCCATTTCACAGCCCCGGCCACCACCCCAGCCCACTACCTCACTGTTGCTGGAACCGTGCAGCCTGCTGGTGCTCCGTGGTACTGCATACACACGCCTCCTGCACGGCATCGCAGCCACCCGGGTAGAYGTGCTGGACACTGCCTCACTGCCACCCAATGCGGCTGCCTGCAGGTCGGCACTGCCTGGAGCCCACCTGGTGCGCGGCACCCGAGTCTCACTGACCATCCGCCGTGTACCCCGAGTGCTACGCGCTGGTCTCCTGCTCAGCAAGTGACTGCCAGGCTCCAGGTCCGGCCTGATTACAGGGCTTTCTACTTGGCTGTTGGGATGCTGTGACCTTGGTACTCTGGGGCAGGGGTGGCTCCCCTGAGTTATTTATTTTCCCAGTAACTGTGGGAACCATGGGAGAAGAACCCATTCCAAATAAACCAAAAATATCTTTTATTGGTTTTAGTTTTTTTTTTGGGGGGGAGGGGTGAGTGGGGGGTCACAGTACAGATTCTTGTTTTCTTGAGGGGCACTGCATCTGGGACTTTAAGTGGATGGGGTGGGCCCTGGAGGTCAGCTTATGGGTCACTTAGGGGGTCAGAATCCAGGGCTTTTGAGGCTTTCTATCTTGGACCCCCTTGGACTGAGGTGAGGTGATGCTGGGAGGTTTGGCTACTGGTCCTGCTAGGGAGGAAGGAGTTAAGTGGCTCTGCTATCACCTCAGCAGGRCATCAAATTACCTGGGTCTTGTTTCTCTAGGAATGGGTGGTGCCACACCTGCCCCTGGGCCTCTGGCAGCTTCAGGCCTGAGTGAGTCCTGCTGAGGAAGTCTAGGAGACACCATTATTAGGCAAAAGGCTCTTAACAGGTGTCTTCACCTGATTCTTTGTACCCAGGTCCCCAGATATGTCCCTGTCCCCACCTAGGCTCCCCTCAGAGCCTCTCAATCATCCCCCAGGAGCCCCTAGGGAGCCGGACATTGCTGGATGCACCGTCTGTCTTGCATCTGGAGAGGAGACAATCAGGTGGGGGCTGGGGCTTTTAAAACTTGGTTCCATGAGGGTGGGAGCAATGGCAGGGGCCATTTAGGGCCGGGAGGTGCTATGGCTATGATCATCTGGGGACATGGGAGAGGTAACTGGGATGGGGTTAGGGTGGATAGAAATGAGGTACAGCGGCCCGTCCTGGACCTGTCAACACCCCTTACATCCCAGGAGAGAGCAGGCACAGGACTTCTTGGACCCTCCTGGGCATGTCCAGGGTGGGTTGAGGGGCACTGAACCCCCAAGAACATCAACGCCCTCTTTCCAGGAGGACCCAGATGGGAACAAACACCATGAGGTGAGCTGAGGTGAATAGACCCCTTTATGTCAGCCTTCTCTGTCCCCTAGAATCTGACCTCTGTTCTGGAGGAGATGATTCTGGAAAGGTGTTGGGCATCTGTGGTGGTGGTGTGAGGCGCTGTGGAAAACATTTCTTTACTAATTGTTATAAAAATATTTGAATATTTTACCAGTTAGGTGCYTGGATACACCTCCATTTTTCTCAGGGATCAGCTCCCTCCCTGTCCAGACTCCCATGCCCATATAKCCAAGTTTCAAGGAAGCTTAAAAATCTGTAGACCTTGAATTATATGTCCCCATCCTCCAAGTGGAAGGCCCCTCGGGTGGGAACAATCCTGATGTAGCCCCAGGAATRGACTCTGGTGCAGAGAATCATCCAGAAAGCAGCAGCTTGCAGAAGGGTGGAGGTATTATCTTGATTGGCCCACTGACCCTGGTTCAGCTCCCTGTGTTCCCCAGCACCCTRGCTCTGGCCTGGAGGCCCTGGAGGCTGAGCAGGACAGTCTGCACCTCTGCCTGTTGGGGCTGGGTCTCCAGCTGCAGGACCTGGAGCAAGGCCTTGGGCCCTGGACATTGGCCCAGCGCAGGATGGTCCAGCTACAGGTGGGCATTGGGAGGACAGGATGCAGGAGGGTGGGCAGGGCCCCAGGAGTGGGTTCCAGCTTTCTGCAGTGAGAAGAGGGTTTAGTACGTGTTCCAGGTTTCTGGGTGGGAAACAGGAAAGGGGGTGATTCAGGTTCTGGTCTCTGGCCTCCCTGGCATGTGTGTGGGGTGATGTCTAACCATGTGTCCAGGCCCTCCAGGCAGATCTACGAGGGGCAGCTGAGCGTGTGGACGCACTGCTAACATTTGGTGAGGGACTGGCACAGCGCAGTGAGCCCAGGGCTTGGGCATCTCTGGAGCAGATCCTAAGGGCCCTTGGAGCACACCGAGACACCATCTTCCGACGGCTCTGGCAGCTGCARGCCCAGCTGGCCAGCTACAGCCTGGTACAAACTGCCCTGGTTGTCCTCAGTGCAGGCCCCAGTCCCCAACCCCTGGCCCCCCAACTCCWATGAACTCTGTCCTTTGACTCAGGTGTTCGAGAAGGCCAATATGCCAGACCAGGACTTGGAGGTCGAGGGGGACTTGGATGGGCCAGGACCTGATGGGGCCTCAGGGCCCTGGGCACCCAGTAACCTCCCCACCCCTGCAGAGTTGGAGTGGGACCCAGCAGGGGATGTTGGGGAGCTTGGACCCTCGAAGCAAAAGACAACACAGACACCAGGGCCTCTTTGTSAGCTGTGTGGCCACAGGGGCCTCCAGGGCAGGGGACAAAGTCTTGAGGTGAGAGCAGTCCCTCTTGAGGGCTCCCCAACTCTGCCAGGCACCCCCAGAGCCCCCTTTGTGTATTGTAGCATGGGCGTTTCCTTTTACTGAGGTCTTAGTGGCTGTCTGTCCCTCTCCGTCTCTCGGTGTCTCCAGGAGTCCCTTGATCCTACCACCTGTTTCTTTGTCTCCAGGAGTCCCTCTCTCTCAGTCTCCCTCCTTCCCATCTCTATCTGCATCCTCAATGCTATTTCCTGTCCCTGTGCCCCTCACTTTCTGTGTCACAGCTCTCATCTCAGAGGCCCGGGGTTCACATTCACTTCACTCCCTGATTTCATTCTAGTCTCTCCTCAAATGTCACCTTGTCAGAGGCCTTCCCTAGCCTCCGACAATAGCACTTCTTATCTTACTACTGTATTTCCTCACAGAACTTCCCRTAGTTTGACATTATACATTTATTTATTTAATTTTTGGCCTCTCTGCCTAGAATATAAGCTCCATGGAGGCCAGGACTTTCCCTCTTTCCATCCCCACTGTCCCTGAGTTCCTGGAGTGACAGGTAATAGATACTCATCAAATATTTGTCGAGGAAATGAATAAATAATGCCCCTCCCCTCTTGGTTTCTCTGGCTCTTCCCCTCTCTGTCTCTCCCTTGAGATTTCTTTGTTCCCCCAGAATCTTATCCCTGTGACACTCCCCTTTCTAGACCCTCCCCTAACCATRTTTTTCTTTGCTGCAATTTTCCACACCCCTCTTTCCTCACAGGATATGCTCTCATTGGGGTTTAGCCACCAGAAACATTTAATAGGTCACCGAAGACGCTCCCTGCTCCAGAAGCCTCAGGTGAGCTGGTCCTCAGCCAGGTATAGCAATTGAGAACCTTTATGGCAAGTAACAAAAAACTAACCAAAATTGACCAACATAAAAAAAAAAGGGGGGGGGGAATGCCATTTGTTCCTTGTAACTGAAAAGTCCAGGCACTGCTGAATTCAGATCTTAAATTCTATCAGGGCTCAGTCCCCTCCCTCTCTTGGGTACTACTTCCCTGAGGTGGCTTTCTCCTCAGTGGCTGCTCTGGCTGTTACACACTCACTGCACACAGCTTTATGCACCCCAGGGAAAGACAATGCTCCTGACCTACTGGCAGCAGCCAAAGTCCCAGGGCTGCCCTGCTTGGGTCATGAGTTATACCCCACCCCATCCAATCAGAATGCTCTGATTGGTCACATCTGATCACATGACCAATAGTGAAAGTGGAAGAGGTGGGAGTCAGCTACACTTGAGCCTGAAGGTCTATGAGGGGGGAGGCATGATCCCCACACCTGCCCCCCCCCYCCCCCCCCCCCCCCCCCCCCCCCCCCCCCGCCAAACTAAGCCAGTGTTATCAGGAAAAGGAGGATATTGGATTGCATAGAGACAGACAGACATCCACCACACTTGGAGACACTCTTCAGTCCATGTGGGGGCCTAGGGGGAAAGAGGAATGGAAGATAAATAAGACTGATCTTGCAAGTCTATAGTAGTAAGGGAAAGGCCACATTAAGGGTGACATCTATCCATTCTGCTGCTGGCTGCTGTCCACCTTAGGACAAGAAGAGGCAAACATCTCCTCGTCTTCAGGATGTGATGCTGGAGGTGGATCCTGGGTGAGATGCTTGGAAGACATTGGTCTGGGGATGTGGGAGACTGGGCTCGTGGTGGTAGCCCACCTGTGTATCTAACATTTCCGTTCCCCCCTCAGGGCCTCTGCTCCTGCATCCAGATGGCCCCTGACCTTCCTCCTTATCCTCTTCTTCTTTCTTCTGATGGGTGTCACATTGTTTCTGCCCATTTCAGGGGACCCCTGCTGCTCTCATGCCCGACAGGCCAGGATGCCCCACCTGACGCTTAGCTATGTCAATGGTCTCCCCCCAATCTGAGTACCCAGCCCAGACATGGGTAATAAATGGTCATTGTCAAAGGATGTGTGAGGCTGTTGGTTGTTTGATTATCCAGAAACTGGGATACAGCCCTGATGTGTCTGGACAGCCCCCTCTGTAGACTACTTTGTCTTGAGCACAGAACATGGAACTGAATGAGCCCATCTTGGGCTGGGTTCCCCCAGACCCAGATACAAAGATTCACGCTAAAGTAGCTGACTGGGAGGTGATCCTCGGAAGAGTGGTAGGGGAATGAAGAAGTGAAYCAGGAAAGGGAGAAAGCTAACACTGGTTCATGAGCTGGTTGTTGCTCTGGGTTCCTAAGGTACCACATGCTGAGTATTCTTCACTCTTTGGGGCATTTATATCTCAGCTTCCATCTTTCACTGAGATGGACTTTTTCTGGCGACATTGACTCCCCACCACTGCCAGCCTGTCCCTTCTGGGAAGGCCCCTCCCTCAGGCAAAGGAGCACAGGTGCTTGCCACAGGAAGCTGGAGGCAGGCAGGAAAAGGGAGCAGGTGTTGTGGGTGAGCTGCCAGAGACAACTGCTGTCATCCCTGACTATCCACACAGGAACTCTGTTCAAACACTCTACACAGGAGGGTAGGGTTGCTCCCCTGCTGGGCCATCACCTGCTTCCAGCGCTCTTCAGCACCAGGCAGAATTGCCAGAGTGGTCCTGAAGTCCAGTCTCCGTCAAACTTAAAAGTATGGAGAAAAGAGGTGGGAACAGAATCAGACTTAAGAACAGAGGCAGGAGCTCTGTGGYGGTCTCCTGGATATTCTCTTAACAACACAGATCCCCTCTCCTGGAATTCTCACCACTGCCCATGATGTGGGCCTACTGAACAAGGCTCAAAAAGAAGTCACAGGCTAAGGCCACATATGGAGCAAGTGGCTGAAGCCCAATCCTCACTAATGTTAAACAATTTATTTTCGTGGGAAACTGAGAAATTGAGAACAGCTAGATCCAGGGACTCAAATGATGTTTCCTTCTTTCAGTTCTTTCCTGCTTCAGATAGGGTCTTGTTAAATTGCTGAGAGTCTTCTTAGTTGCCCTAGACTGGCCTTGAACTTGTGATCTTCTTGCCTCAGACTCCCAAGTTGCTGGGATTACAGGTATACACCACTGTGCCTGGCAGAGGGTGCAGTTTAAATAAAGAAGCTGAGGAAGTCAAGGTAATAATTTGTTGCTATGTTATAACTGCCTTTAGAACAAACAGTAGTGAGGAAACAAGCTGCATGGATTCCTAGAGCAGCCCTGTCCAGTAGTAATGCAATGCAAGACACAAATGCAATTTAAAATCTTCTAGTAGACTAAAACAGTAAAAATAGATGAAATTAATTTTAATTATTTATGTTCTATTTTACCTGGTATGTCCAAAATATATCACTTCAATATATAGTCAATATAAAAATAATGAGAGCTGGGTGCAGTGGTGCATGTCTGTAATCCCAGCAGCTTGGGAGGCTGAGGCTGGGAAGTTCAAAGCCAGCCTCAGCAATTGAGTGAGGCTCTAGGCAACTTAGAGCCTCACTTGCTGTCTCAAAATGAAAAATAAAAAGGGGTGGGGATATGCCTCAGTGGTAAAACCTCTGGGTTCAATCCTTAGTACAAAAAATTTTACACACACACACACACATAAAYAAATCTGGTCATGATACTTTTTTCATTGTCGAAATATTCCATAGTAATTTCTCCACATCATTGCACCCAGGGTGACGCTGTTCAAGGGAGAGTGCTGAGCAGGAGTGACGGGAAGTTCTAGTTGTGGTCAGTGGCTCCACCTCTGGTACAGTGAATTTCCCAGAGTTCTCCAAGGCCCTCCTGGGCCACCTCATGCATCTGGTCATTGGTACTTTGGGACAGCTGAATTTGTGACCCAAGATAAAAATATATTCTAGTAATCTGTGWTTCCTGGTAGAGTGGCGATCACACTCTATAAGGGAGACCAAATAAAGTCTTTATTTTTTCAAAGACAAAAAAAAGTGGAAATTTTATTTAATTGATTTTGAAATAAAATTGTGAAGCAGCAGCTATGCATGAGTTTTGTAAAGTCTCAAAATATCAGCTTCTCTTTTATAAAAATGTGCCATTGTCTTTCTGGCYCAAAGATGACAATGATTGGTAAGACAATGACCCAGGTTGAACACCCCTAATCTGAAAATCTCAAATCTAAAAAGCCTCAAAAGTTGAAATTTTTAAATACCAATATAATGCTACAAGTAGAAAATTCAACATCAGAAAGCTTCATTTCTTCTAAAAATTTTTATTTATTTATTTACTTACTTTTGAGATGGGGTCCTCCATGTTGCCCAGGCTGATCTTGAAGGCCTRGGCTCAAGGAATCCTCCTMCTTCAGTCTCCTGAGTAGCTGAGACTATAAGTGCCCACCATAGTACCTGGCTCAAACTAATTAAAAATATCAATATATATAAAAGTACTTTTAGGTTATGTGTATAAGGTGAATCACAAATTAATTCTATGTTTAGACTTGGGTCCCATCCCCAAGATGATTCACTATGTAGACACAAATATTCCAAAATCTAAATCAAATGCATTGGTCTTTAGCATTTCAAGTAAGGGAATTCTCAATTGGTATAACCATTAATTTTTTTTTTTTTTTTTTTTTGGTACTAGGGATTGAATTCAGGGGCATTATACCACTGAGTTGTACTTCCAGTCCTTTTTAAATTTTATTTTAAAAGACAAGCTCTCCCTAAATTGCTGAGGACTTTGCTAAATTGCTGAGGCTGTCCTTGAACTTGTAATCCTTCTTCCTCAGCCCTTCTTCCTCCAGTCACCACTGACTTTTCTTGATTTTTCATTTTTGAAACTTGAACAAAACCAGGGGTGCTCTACCACTGAGAAACACCTCAATCCTTCTTTCTTTCTTTTTTTAAAATGTTTTTTAGTTGTAGATGGACACARTACCTTTATTTATTTCCATGTGGTGCTGAGGATTGAACCCAGTGCCTCACATGTGTTAGGCAAGCCCTCTACCACTGAGCTACACTTCGGCCCCACCAYCACATTCTTGCTATTATATATGTGTATGTACAAACTCACACGTGTGCACGCTTGTGTACTTGCATGTTTTGGAAATTTTTGAGAGTAGGCTGCAGACATGATGACTCTTTACTTCTAAATACTTTAGAAATAAATACTTTAATGTGTGTATCTTAAGAACAAGGGCGGGCTGGGTGTGTAGCTCAATGACAGAAAACTCCCAAATGTGAGGCTCTGGGTTTGATTCCATAGAAATTTCTCCACTGCAAACAAAACAAAACAAAAGGCATTCTCTTCTGCAATTAGAATATAGTTGTCTAAATCAGGAATTCTACAGGTGTGGYAATGCACACTTCCCAGGAGGCTGAGACAGGAGAACCATGTGTTTGAGGCCAGCGAGAGCAAATTTGTGAGACCTCATCTCAAAATAAAAAGGGCTGGCAATGTAGCTTAGTGGCGTAGCACCCCTGTGTTTAACCCACAGTACTGGGGGAAAAATCAGGAAATTTTACAACTCAATTCAAATCTATTATTAACCCACAATCCATATTCTAAATTACTCCAACTTTATAGCAATTGCTTTATAGCAATTTTCCTGGACTAGGAGATTATTTTTTAATAGACCAGGGCAGGGGTTGTTAAAATGTTAACAGTGGGCCTTGGCAGAGTGAAAGAATAGAGCAGTAGACAGTCCCAGAGCATCAGCAGAATCCCCTCCTTTACACAGAAGCATATGCTGAGCCCCAGACTTGGATGAGGAATTTTGTTTGGGAGGTGATCCAGGAAGCATCAGTGGGGAGAGTGAGGCAGGGCTGGGGAAGGCCAACAATGGTATTCATGGAGTGGTGACCACTGTGGGCAACAGGGGCTCAATCCCATAAGCACCTCTGAGGAAGCTTGAACATGTATTATGATCGGCTCGATGGACAAGAGGCAGGTCTGGGCACTCATCCAGTGACTGCTGTTCCCCACAGGCCAAGGGTTGCCCCCAGGGGCACCAAAGCACCTTCTTTGACTCCCAGAAACCCTCCAGCAAAGAAGCAGAGAGGCAGGCTATGGGCAGGAAGCTGGCAGCCTGCTGGGAACCTGCTTCTGCAGCTGCAATTGAACTCAAGCTGGAGGGTTCAGTGGCAGGCAGAGGAAGTACCATCGCTGGCTGCTCACTGGTTCATAACAGTCATGTGATGGGGCCTATTACTATGCTCATTTAATCAATAAGGGCACAAAGGTGCAAAGAGGTTGTTAAACCACTTGCCCATGACCGTGTAATCAGCAAGTGCTAGAGCTATGATCAACTGGCATTCGAGTTCTGTAGTCCTGCTCTTAACCTCCCCTTACCTGCACACCTCCTCTGTCAAGGGAGACATTCCCTTCACGTCCTTCCTACTTTCAAACTCCATTCCTCCACAACACCCAGGTGAATGTCTCCTCCTCTGCTGACCCAGGTTGCTCAGCTCAGTGAGAACCCTGCTGGCGGCTCCATCCTGGAGCTTATTAGGGCTCAAGATCATGTAGCCAGGTGGGAGGTAAGGCTGGAAGACATAACAGGGGCTGGATGGGTAGGATCCTATTAGTTTCTTTTTGTCGGGGGGTGGGGGTGCGCCAGGGATTGAACCCAGGGGCACTTGACCACTGAGTCACATCCCCAGCCCTATTTTGTATTTTGTTTAGAGACAGAGTCTCACTGAGTTGTTTAATGCCTCGCTGTTGCTGAGGCTGGCTTTCAACTTGTGATCYTCCTGTCTCAGCCTCCTGAACTACTGGGATTATAGGTATGCACCACTGACCTGGCACCCCATTAGTTACAAGTCTTCATTTTAATGCTGAGATGGAGCCTGAACAGAGTCACCTTGATGGAAAAAAACTGAGGCTGAGAGATGAATAGATGACTAAGGTYCCATGGTGAAGACTATTCAGAGACAGAAGTAGAGGAGATGACACAGAGCAGTGCCACAGCTTTGCTGTCTGGGGCTCTCTAGGTCCTCACT